TTCTTTTTTAAAAGGAAAATAGTTTGATAGGGTTGTAACCGTATCAAAATTATAACATCCTCACCTCATAATTCATCAAAAATTGTAATTAAAATACTGGAAAAACTTTACAGGGATAATCTTAGCTTGAACATTGTGGCTATAAAAAAAAAAAAAGGATTTCAATATCTAAAAATAGTGTATATTGTAACAAATTATCTAGACCATTTATTTCACTGTAAAAATAAGTGTTCACAATTCTATAATATCTTACCATTTTTTGAATTTCAAATTTTATTGTTGGTGTTATAGAAATTTTCATTACCAAAAGTACTTTCCAAACGAGAATTTGAGGTGAGGTTTATTTTGTTTTCATAATGCTTAGGCCTTATAGAAACTTCATCCTTCTTAGAAAATACATCTCATTTCCTTTCCAATTCCTATTGTCCCAAAATAATTCTCAGCTAAAACATGGCTCTCTCCCCAATATTTATCTCTCTGGCAAATGGGGGCCTCTTTCTCTCTCAGCATCTCACACCACCCAAAATCCCCTATCTCCACCCAAAATTAAATTTCTAATGTCATATAAAACCAATAAGGATATGTATATAACAAGACCATGTATTTTTTATTCAAGATTACAATCATCATTGACTATTGCATGTGAAATCGTGTGGTGGGGGATGTGTCGCTAGGCATGTAGTGCATATTTTTGAAAGTTACGATGCATTTCAATATGGTGGGGTTTCGCATTTAATAACTATGACTATTTGTGATTTTTTTGTACCAAAGTGATTGGTCTTATAGTATATATTTCCAATTAAGAATCAAACTTTTAATATGATGCATGAAAAGTTGAATATATATTTTCCCATTAAGCATCATGTGTTTTCGCATTAAAAATTCAATATTCGCCTGCTACTTTAGTGTGGTGTGAAAAATAAAGCTCCCTTAGGAGCAAATCTTACATTGACTCCCTCAAGGGTTTGAGAATAGGGTTTGAGAATATTTTAGGATGGCAACGGATGTAACCCCCTCAACCTAGCTATAGATCTGAAATATAAAGATAAAGTTTTCAAAATACACTTAACTCTTAAACGATTTAACAATCGACCCCTTTTCAAGTATTGTAGCTCATGGTGTTGTGTAATTGGTCAGTAAATAAAAGATGGAATTGTATACGATACGATCATTTACTTTTGGTATAATGAGGTCACAATTGCCTATAACCATCCGATATGAAATCTGTTAGCTTGAGTTTGTCACAAAGTTTGACAAAATTTTTTTTGAACTTTGAACTTAGTCAATAAAATAAATGTAACCACCCAATTTTACATCCAATAGTTAAGTTTTATAGTGACCACTTTGTATCAAAGGTAAATAGTTTCATTTTTTTACTTTTCCATAAAATATAGAAATAGATAATATAGGTAATAGTTGATATCTTTTCTATATTTTGATAATCATTTAAAAATTAAACAAAAGTTCCAAAAAATAATGGGCTCTATATATGCCAAGAAAATTAGGTTGTGAGACTTAAATAAAGACTACCCAACTTTTAAATTGATCCAAAATTTTAGTAGTCAGGAACTCAAAATCCATTCACTAGTGACTCTAAAGTGGATCCCAAAAGTTTATACTGACAAAAATCCTTCCCTGTAGGTCATTTGCCCGAGAGTGTAAGTGTATAATGTGCTCGAGCGGGAACCTTCAACAAGGCCACCTTGAAGCCAAGCCAAAACTACTCCGACTCAGCTCTATAGAGGGGCAGTCTCGATATATTTGGGGGGACACACTTGATATTTTCTAGACAAGCACGGTCACATCACAAGTCCTGACGCGTATGTGGGCCCCACGCGACCGAGCCCACCTCTTTCCCTCTTGAACCCGGACCTGGCCACGTGGGCTGGGGCCCACTAGCTCAGTGGGCTCGGACCCACTTCCAGCTCGCTCCATTACAAAACCGAGGGGGTGACTCACCACCCTTGTGGGCCCGACGTGGGCCGTATTGAATGCGACTGATTGGACAGGATTCCTTGTTTTCTTCTTCTTCCCCGCCTCGTTGTCATCCCCAAAGGGATTCCCCCCTCTCTCTCTCTATCTCTTTCTCTCTCTACATTCTTTCTCTCTCTACATCGGGAATAGGACTGTTGTGCCCTCCTGATATTTGAAATGACCGTATGCCCCTGAAAAGCTTGACAAAGAGATAGTGACCTTATCTTAATCGAAATGACCAACGGGCCTCCATTGTCTTCTTTATTTTCATTTTTAAGGGAAATTAACAGAAAAATATTTTTATTTTCAAATTTTAAAAATATTAATATATATTTTATATTTTATATCAAATCTTTTTTTTTTTTTAGCCCTTGATAAAACAGAACGACAAACCAAGATTCATACAGCCCTTATATAAACATTTTATAAAAAAATAGGTATTTATACCTATGGTTTTGGATAAATTTTATCTATTTAGGACTAGTGAAAATAATGAATTACAAATAAATAAAATAAAATCTTCAGTTCTAATCAAACACTAGAGCATGAATAAGACATTGTCGTTTTCCATTAAAACTCATTCCATAGCTAAATTTGTTGAAGGTTAAAATAGTACATTATAAAAACAAGTTATGTGATAGGGTTTTGGAAGATCAATGCAAAAGCAAAGTAAAAAAATTCTTGTCTAATGAACCCCACATAAATGAATAACTGTAAAGAGTTTTATTGTAATTTTAAGAAGATTTTTTCAGTGATTCTTTTGATAATGATACAATATGGCCATATTTTATTTACTTCTGGCAAATAAGTTTTTTAAAGAAATAGTACTTTCAAAATGATTGTATCTTAAACAGAGTACTACTAAATATTATCTATGATTGGGTCGACCATCAAAGGGTGAGAGGTTTGGTCCAATCAAAACTAGTATAACCACTAGTTAAATAAGTTGCATCGAATTCTAAAAAAAAAAAAAAAAAATCAGATATTATAGTTGAACCGATTTACCCAATTTCATTTTGCTAGTTGAATTGATTAAAATTGATTAGTCCAACTAGCAAAAAGAAAAATCTTCTCCTTTAACCATAATAAAAAATGAAAAAGTGTCCAATTGGAATATGAAAACACGATTGAATTGGTCCTAGTTACTCTTCAAGATGGAGTGGAAGAAGGGAGAAGATTATCGAAGGGGGAAAATGATCCAATTACTTCGAAAGAATTGAACAAAGAGCTATTGTCATTCCTCTATTAGGATGGGAAGAAATCGTCAGCCGGATCTGCAGTGCCTCTATATACATCCAAATCACCTTACCCCAGTGTCTTACTAAGCCAATAGCCCGAGCCCGAGAAGACTTGATTTGCATAATCCACTACCCGAAAGCACAACACCAATTCCTTGCTCTTAAGACAGCCCTGCTGTGTGTCACGACACGAGTACTGATACACCCACTACACGTCTCACTTCTTAGGTCACGAGTATCGATTCACCTATTGAGTGTTTCGCTCCTGTTGTTGCTCAACTTGCATGATTTTGCACGCTCAATTAGCATCTCCTTACACAAAAATCAATCAAACATTGGTTGTGAGCAATTTTTTATCAAATCCGATTTGTACCTTATATCGAACCAGCCAAGGCACCAATCCACAGTTCGATTAGTCGAAATACCAGTTCTGTATAGTCTTGATAACATGTTGCTGACTATAGTTTGAATTTCATTAGGGTTTTTTCTTATCAAATTCAATTGGTTTTTAGCTGCAAGCTTGGTATAACGTTTATCAAAGTCCTTTCATGGTTTCATGCTCTCTCTCTCTCTTTGCTTCATGGTGGTAGACATTAATTAGTGGTGTCATGTTTTCTTGCCCATTGGTAACTTTGGCCTTGTCATTTTCTTTTGGAAAAAGCTCAACGAATTGGGGGAGAGAGAGGGATCACATAGCTTTTTACAAGAGGGGAAAAAGAAAAAAAAGGAAAGAAAATGGGCAAATCACCATTTGAAACCCTCACATCCCCTCACCTCAAATAGCAATGCAAAGGCAAAACCGGAAAGGAAAGAATCAAACTTCCATTTACATTTACCCTCACAAAAAGAGAGAGAGAAGGGGGGCGGGGAGGAGAGGGGGGAGCCTTTCCTCTTTGCCCCCAAGAATCAAGGATAAAACCTAAATCCCAAGTCCCAGAGACAATAAATATCCCAATGTCGGAACACATTCGTACAAAGAATTTTCGAGGTGCGTCTTATTTCAATAATATAAAATTGACACTTTATATAAACTCGATCCCAATAGAGAGAGAGAACCCGAGTCAGAATTTCCTTGCCTAACTCCTAAGATATTAATCACAAAGATAGACATTGAGAGAGGGGACTTAAAAAAAAAAAAAAATGCATTTCCTGTTAAATATCGAGGGGGCTACATAAATATCTAAGGTAATGAGAGAGAGAAGAGCCTTTCTATAAAAAATATCAGGAACACTAATCAGTCATTCAGAAGTCGGTGACCAGACTTGGTATCGGTAGATTCAGATAAGAAACAAATGGAAATCATTGATCAGACTTAGAATCTTCAATTCAGATAAAAAAACAGATAGGAAATTCCCGGAATCACCCAATGTCACTGGTTATCTACTTTTTTTCTAAAATTTCTTTGTAAATTGTAGCCCAGATATACCCAATAATAATCCAAGTGAGATCATGAGAATCAAAACGGGAACAAGAGTCAGAGTAGGAGAATCAGAACAAGAACAGGACCCTATCGAGTTGGGTCGAATTTTGATTTTTAAAACATTGCAGAGAAAGTGTGATGTTTTAAGCACCACACTATGCTAAAGAGAGAGAGAAGGGAGGAGCTTTTTTCTTCAAAAAATATCAAGCACATAGGGTGATCCCAATAACATATATAAAACTATTTCAATATTCCAAAAGAAGATAAGGACCCTTATCGTCATTCATAAAATGTCAAGGGTTTCAACAGTAAATTCCCTTCCAAATGGGACCAACAGGTGAGCCCTTCTCCCTCAATAATACCCCCCTCGACGCCTCGACCCCTCGCACTGCAAACCAGGGCGAAGCAGCTCCCCAATCTCTCTCCCTAACGTTTCCCGTCAAAAGCCAACGGAAATTCACTCGATCCGTCCCTCTCCATTAACCTCTCTCTCCCCTGTATGATGGGTTTGAGTTTCTTGCGTTCTGAAATCTCAGTTAACGCCGTTAAGTTGATTACCACCTTTTTCCGTCACAAGAAAGCGTGAAAGAGAGAAGGAGAACAGACAGACACAAAAGAAGAGAGAGAAAGCATGAATCCTTGAGAGAGAGTGTGAGAGAAAAGGGCGGGAGGAAAAAATGGCCGGTGGTAGGGTTTATGGGGGATCGAATTTGAACGTTGTTCTTCAGGGTGAGGGCCTTCCTTGCTCGTCTGATGCTCTCGATGCTCTGCTTGTTTCCTGCTCTTCTCCCAGCTTTCATGGTAATTTACTCATAATCATGCTTTTCTCTGTGGTTTTCTTTCTTTCTGTTTTTTTTTTAACTCAAGTTCTTGCTTTCTCTGTATTTTTCTCTGTTTGTTGGTGTTTTTGCGTTGAATTTTGAGTTGGGTCATCTCTCTCTCCTCTGGTTGACTTGAGGCTGACTGAATTGGGGTCTGCCTATTTGATATGAGTGACTTTGTCTTAGAATTTTTTGGTGTGGGTTTTCTTCTAATGTAAATTATACAAGTTTTTAATTACTTACACTGATTTCTCATTTCATTGAACTGTTTCTAAGGTGTAAATTCAAATTTGTAAATTGGTACTGTTTCAAAGGTGTAAATTCAAATTTGTAATTTGGTTTGTTATATATGGTGTGCTTAAGATGCTGCAACTTTGGAGATTGGTAGATATCTTTTTGTGGTGCTTATTTATTTATTTATTTTTATTTTTTTATATAAAGTATTTAAGCAGAAAAATTAACTCTTACTGTAGTATTTCTTGAGGAATTTAATCATATTGTATTTCTTGAATGTCTGATCAGTGGCTGATTTGTTATGCGTTTTTTCATTCTCAACCCTGTAAATTATAAGTTGGGGTGCTGGTGATGTTTGTTGTCTTTCTTCCTCTTTGTTTTGAAGCTGTCTCTTGGACTTGAGGTCCAAAAGACTTGATCTGTTGTATGTGGAGCTTTTGCTAGTCTTTGGATTTGGGATTTTTTTTTTCTTTTAGTTTATTGACTGTCGATTAATTATCAGTGAACTATGATTCTAGCTACACGATCTTGAATAGCCTTGCCACTGTGAATTGCTTCGTTGGATCTGATTTCGATCTGGATCAAATTTTACTTCTCATACGTATTTTCATTTCTCGTTGTCAATGTATCCATAGGAATTATTTATTCTTCTTTCTTATTTTGCCTAATTTTTCTCCGAGTTCTTACTTCCTGTTCTAAAGTGTATGGGAGTATGTATTTACTGTTTCAGTTACAGGAGATGTCATGGTTTGGGTTTAAACTGAATTGATCTTTGCTTGCCTTTGTAGATCTCTCTCT